GTGTAGCCAAAATCCAAGACAAAACCTCGCCTGCTTACCTTGTGTCAGGTGCTAACTTAGACCTTCAGTCAATCGACCAATTTTCATCTTGCGCACATTTGAAAGTAAACCATCAGCTGAAGATACTATAGAGGTAAATCTAAGTTAGATTTAGGGAATTGTCGCGTTTTCCTATTTAAGTCTTTGCTTCTGCCAGTTCCCGTGCTAGAACAGGTAGGATGTATTTCCTCGCACATTGCGCGACTCATTCAACGGTCATATGCTGTCCTGAACATTAAAAAAAACCCATTTCAATGATCAGATAATCTAACTTGCTGAGAAGTGCTGTGACATGAAATATGTGCCATTTAGCATGTGAATATGTCATGCAATGATGTGAAGGTACCTTATATCACACCCCGCAGGTGGTTTTGAACCAGCAATCAAACACGACGTCAGGCATTAGGGAGTGTTTAGTTTTTACATGAGGGGAGCAGAAAAATAGGTTTATTGTTAAAGAACCCATGAACAAATGTTCGGTATAATATGATGAAGTGGTTGATTTTAACATTGCCCACTTAATTTCACAAAGAGCAACAAGTGTAACACGAAAATGATTACCTATAGGTAAATGCGATGTATTTATCAAAGCTAAATGCTTCGTCGACATATTTCTTTACTTTTGTAGTTTTTTGTGGTTAAGATCAGGGTAAAGGTTATAATAATCACCCCTAAGCACTGTTTTAAGATGATTCGGTAGAAGAAATGCAGCAAACAGTCTGCGAAAGTTGGCTGCTGATTTGTGTTATCCTAAAAGTTAAGCATTGAAGCGTGTGTACTAGCCTGTGAAAGTCACAAAACGAGGACGAATAGGTAGGCAACGTCAATCACTGCCATCACTGAGAACTTGAAGATTTTATAAGAAAGCCACATGCTTAAATGAGTCCCAAAATAATTGAAGGTGACAACACTACCTTGGGATCCAAACCGTATAGAAATAACGATAATATGGTACGAGATGTTTAAAGAAACGTAGCTAGTTTTATACTCACCGGCAGCTGGCAATCGACTGTGATGATGCGTCTTGTGAATCTGGCAACAACCAGCGCCTATTTAGGTTCTATGAATGGGGATTTTTTCTAAGAACAACAAATGGTGTAGCAGTGTTGAATGCAGAGACTGAAAAACACAACTTACTTACTACAATGAGGTCGTTGTGGTGGCGCGATCGTTTGTGTTTGCATGGCTGTTATTAAATGTGCTAGATAATAGCTGGCCCAAGTGCAAAGGACGTCCAAGACATTTATAGAAAGTGCCTCTAGTTGTTGATAGGAAGACCACTCGTCACAGCAGTACTTTTCTTCATTTTAGTTGAGGGTGAGGGATTCTCTCCAAGAAACCGCCCTTAAATATCGCATTAACGCTTTTACCCGACTTCCTAAGCGGGTTTTCTCAAGTTTTTGATTTGCTAACATAATTTGTTATCCGATACTATCAGGCTTCTATAAAAGGAGGGGTCATTGATTGTCCGAAGTTGAAAGGCTTTAATTCGTATTAGAACAAACAGAGTGCAATTCATCTTTTTTTAGTATATCCAATAGTAGACACTTCAATACCTATGTAATAGATGATAAGTCCTAGAGAGCATCTGGATTGGTATCTTTTCTGTCATGCTAAGAAATTCCCCCTTGGTACGTTGCTAGTTATTGGATTGCCGAGATACTTGTTGCACATCTTACATCCCCTTGTTATTGACTGAGTATCAAAACGCGAATCCAGGATATGATTTTGACAAAAAATATTGCAGCATCAAACGTTCCTAATTGATTTTAAACTTCAAGCATTAGTGTGTTCCGACTACATTTAGGCTTAGGGGTATTAACAGCTTCCTTAGATGATAAAGTGGTTCTGTGAAGAATGTTCCGGTATGTAATGGAATTTCGAATAGATTTGTTGAAATGACTATTAAAGTCCCTTAATTACAAATGTGCTTCCAGTACAAATTGCAAGTAGAGTTCAGGATTCATTCTGGGTCTCTTTATCTGTTAGCGGCTAGGTTTATTATAGTGTGGTTTATCCAGGTAATACAATAACACTTTAGAGACTGAAAGATTGCTTAGTCATTTCCAGGGTTTTGCACTTTCGGCACGCTTTCTTTAGTCAGGAATGCACACCCGAGTGAATAAATTAATTGCTCACCACGGTACCAAAGTGTTCACTAAGCTGATTATTTCCAGTGACGCGCATACATTAAATTGTCTCAAAAATGCACAGTCTTTCAGACGTTCGCGCACACACGCTGCCTGCCCTAACCTCGATGTTTATTACCAAAGTAAATCGTGATGCAGAACGGCTAAATATTGACGGCTGAATTACTCGGTCCGTTAGAACTAGCCCTTTACAACTGTCTGTGAATTTCTTTCCAAAGCTCGCACCTGAGTGTCTGTTATTACACCTTCTTCAAACGTGCCTTGACATTGAAATCGCCCATGGAGGTTTTTATCTAAAAAATTTTGAAATAATTTCATCAAGCAAGCAGTCTGATATGACACATTCTGCTTCAAGAAACCTGATGGGAATATGCGCGGCAACTTTAAGACGATGCGAAGTAATTGCACAATTTTAGACCTCAATGACACAGCTTTTGGAAATTACTACCTCTACTAAGTGCTGCCTCAAACTTATAGATAAATAACACTAACCGCAAAAATGAAAGTTCTGAAGTCAGTTTCAGTGTTTTATTTGAAAAATTATCACTTTCAACCTTACACAGACGGTTTTAGGAGTGCAAGCGATTTCTTAAAAATTAGGTGCTGATGTGTCGTTTCGCAGTCTTACACTTTTTCTTCGTAGAACAAACCTAAAGTAGAGTAAGGTACAAAATATATTAAATCGGGTGTACACTTGAACCATACACATAGCTCAAAAGTTAGACAATTAATCTTAGCTTAGTAAAAAAGTATGAACGTTAACTTTGTATTTGGCAATTCCGCTGCGTTAATTACTAAATAATTCTTCCAGGTGTTTAAAATAGAAAAAATACAAGTAACAAATGGAAAAATAACTAGTCTCTACTAACGACTGAATTAGCACAGCTTTGGGTCAAAATTTCAATAAGTGCCAAAAGAAGCGTCTTTATCAACCAGAAATGTAGTGGTTTTGTTTGGGAACACCGGTTGCGATTTGCCATCTGTAACCTTTGAGCCTCGAATCTCAAAAAGTTCGACAAATAGCAGCACGTTCCAAGGCCGATACCCGCCTAGACACTTAAATCTTATTTTAACAACGTGAATTTGACTAAATTAATGGACTTACTAGTGGCCAGTTTAAAATAATGGACCAGCGCTTTAAAAAACCTGTTTAATAACTCTAAATTCAACCTCAAGATGGAAATTTGAAGTATTAGGGATACCCATTAGTAACGTTTTTGATATTTACATTGGATGATGCTTTCAAACTGTCTTATTACTATTTATTTATGCCACTGACCTTCCTGCTGAGCAATATCAAACAAATTTAGGTACAATTAAAAGAATGAAAGTCAGAAATCCTCGCACGAAGGTGTCGTTGGGTAACACCACGGAAACCTAAAGCTTGATTTCACAGTACAACTATGTTAGTGTGAAACTGTTTCACATAAAGGATCGAAATAAACCAGAATGCATGGCATGTTTTGCTCAGTTTTATGGACGCAACATAGATTTGTCTCAGAAACGCCCAAGGCTGTTTATTCGAAATGATATCAAGCTCCACCA